CTGCTCTGTGTACACGACGTATATATGGGAAAATTCAGTTTTTACGGCGCGAAGCCGGGGGGGGGGGGCGGATGATGACTGTCATTTATTTTGTAAAACTTGCCATTTTGTCAGTGTTGGCATTGGGGAGGCCACTTAGGTGGTTTCTTTTGCAGTAGGAGCACGCAATGAGTTTCAAAAATTAAACACAAATTTTCTTTCTCCCGATTATTTTAAGGGGTTGTGCAGGATTGGGGAGCACACGTGGGGGAGGGGGAAAAGGCCTCAATTGGGACGTGACCCGACTCCCTCTCCGCCATTCCACCACTCTATAACGGCATTCGGCCGAAAATTTCAAATAAGTTTGTTCGGTATAGAGTCATCTCTTCCTGAAAATTTTGAAGAGTTTTGAGGGCAGAAGCCAGTGCCATGTTGATGATGACGACACTGATTATGACAATATCGACGGTAACGATCTTAAGATGCTCTTTTTTATATTGCCATTTAAGGTGAAACGTTGCAAGGCTCAACTATTCAAAGGGTATGATTTCGCTTAAGTTTTGGAAATACTCTGCTTTTCAATATCAGTTGTGCATCACATTTGCTTTTTTAATTAATTAACACCTTTCCAACGAACAATTCTAATTATGAGGACCAAATCACTTTCCTCAAATATTAGTCATATGTATAATGTCCCCAAGTGGTGACCTTGACTGGCAAATGTAGTTTTATTTATATTGCAAAGACACAAAGACTATCTGTTCGAATAGTGTGGCTGTTGAGTGACAGAATTGTGCAGTTTGTGACTAAAGCACGAAACTGTGCATGTTGGTTCTTAATGCCATGAAGAAAATTTTCATATTTGACCACTGGTAACCTTTAGAGGTCAATGAAATTTGTGTGCCCTATTTATAGATATTTAAGATTTACTATTCAAAACCCCTTTTTTCACAAATGTTGGTCTTCTTGCAATTATATGAATTTTCAGATGTGTGGACATTCATATCTGACCACGGGTGACCTTTGAGAGGTCAATGAACTGCCGATATTTATCGTATTTTTTTAATATTTCAAATACCACTTCGTCATGACCCAAGTCTTAATACAGGGTGTATCAGCAAAAAAGGAGAAAACCAAGATGTAATTTATAAAAACATCTTATAAATATTTTCAAATAAATAATAAAGTTGAAAATCACGTGAAACACCAATGTGTCCTCTTTCTAATGAGACCTTGATTATGCGTATGTGGCCATGGATGATTGAGCATTCGTTGTTTATCTGTCAAGGGTCAAAACCTGAACTGTGCCAAGTTTGTGCAAAAGGGTATCTGGTATCTGGGCCTGTGAAACGGCTTCATTTAAAGAAAAAAGATATCCTTTTCTTTAAAACAATTTATTCACCTTCGACACAGTGATTTAAACTTCTCATTTTTGAAGTTAACCCCTCACACCCAATGCCTTTAACCCTAAAAGGGCCAGGTTATTTTTACCATCTCTCAGCTGGGTGGGGGCGGGCGGATCCCCATGATCTCGGCCATCGAGTGACGACAATTTTGAAACACGGGTACATGCATAGAGCATCTTATCATAAACATACCCAATAAATTTCATGACTATAGGTCAAAGGGTTTTGGAATTATGGTTAATTAAGTATATGTATGGTAATTCTGCTCTGTGGCACGACTTAATGGGGAAATTCAGTTTTCCCTGCACGTAGCGCCGGAAAAGTTTTCGCTGCGCGGCAACCCGTGTTCCGATTTTTATATGATTTTTTGGTATCAAAAGATGTGCAAGACACACGGCTTAAAGGTCATTACAGCTTGGGTTCAATAATTCCACCGCGCTTTGTTTAAGTTAGATAGCTGGCATTCCGGGCGTTTCGTATAGTTTTCCCTGTAGGGCTAGGTCCAAAATATTGTTGATTCCGTTCCAACTCTACTTTGAGTTGACATCTGCCTGGTTATGCTCCTGCTTTGCGACCAGCATTTTCTGCGAGCATTGCACACTCCACTTGTATTACTGCAAATTTTGGGTGCGGCTCCCCGTTGTGTAGCAGCAATATAATTGTATATCCGGCGTTGCCGGCATTGCAGTTTTGCAATATTTTTCTGCTGCTGCTTCTGCATCGATTTGACATTGACAGCCTGGCATGAACGTAGATCATCCCAAGTGGTAAGTAAATGCCTTGTGTGTTATTTAACTTTTTATGCCTGAATCTTTTTATGCCTGAATCATTTTTATGCAACATTCTGTTCACTTACTGATGGATTCATAAAAAGTATTCTTTGATTTAAAAATAAGGAAAACAGTTCTTCCCCAAATTACTTTGAATTTAATGATGTCTTTAATAATGTACTTTGATCAGAAAGTTTTCCCATAATTCATTAGACAGTGATTAATTGTTTGTAATTTCAGATCATTGAATAGATCTAGACAGCTTCCATTCCCTATTGACTGTCGTTCTTTTTATATACCCAAGTTCTTTTTATACCAAAGTTCTTTATACACTAATTCTTTCGTTAACACCAGATTTAAATGCGTAAATACATTGTCTCATATATTTGAAATCAATTTAATTGTGTTGTGAATAAAATATTGTGATATTATTGAGACATCCAAAAGACTTCGCTCCACCCAAATTATTTAGAGGGAACCACTCAGTTGTGAGGAGAGTGCCACATTTAAAACTAATTCAAATCGTTCTCCCCGGTTACACAAGACCATTTTTTTCTGGTGAAAAAGGCATCTTTAAAACCCCTAGACTTGCACGACGTTAGCATAATTATTTCCAAACCATTTAGTTAACGTACAATGTAGGTGTATCAAAAATTAGTGTTGGCGTAACATGGCGGTCACGTGACAGCGTTTTGCATCCAGAATTAAACAATGTAATATCATAGGCGGGTTTAGGTTTTCGTTTAGGATGTTTATGGTTAAAATGGAACAAATTATCCCCAAACATAGGTACCATGCCTCCGTGCGTAAGACGTAGTGCTACCCGATCAGGGCATCGGCTAGCAAACATTATGCCAAAATGGCCTTTAAATACGAAAATTATAACGGTGGTACTGGTACTGGTATTTTGCAAAATGGCTGCCAGGCCTTCAAAAGGGGAGTTTTCGTTGGCTCCATATCTGGAAATATTTGTATCATACTAAACATTCTGTTTGGAGTTTCATGCCTTTATGAAAGTTTTTTTTTTTTTTGGGGGGGGGGGGCTGGGATTGACACCACAGAGCACAAAAAGTGGCGCTGTTAATAGTATATTGATGCAAATTTGCACACTTGCTCTACGACTCTTAACTTTACATCAAAACGGATAATTTGAAAGTATGTGTACTGTTTGTTCTTCGTTTTCAGAACTATTTCAATTCATTTGGAATATTTCAAGATTACCTCGAATCGCCACATTTTGTTTCTCGTAACAAATAGGGGGGGGGGGCAATCCAATGGCCCATCCCCCGGTCATAAAGTCGTTTACGCCCATGGACAAAACGATTGAGGGCGTGCTCTCTTTTTTCTGTTCACGTGATCGACTATTATTTACACAGCTTTTGTATATGCGAGTTTTAGGTCAAGCTGTCGCATCGTCAAAAGGTAAGTCACAAAAAATACCTATTTTTGGACCTCAAAGTTAACTTTTTTTTAAATAAATTTGGTTTTAAAAACTTAACCACAATGTGGATCGATAAATATGACTAAATATTGAGTTCCAAAATATCAGTCATGGTTTAATTTGTGATGATGTATTCGTGTTTATTCGTATAGTGATACAACTAGTGTTAAGATTTGTTTCATAAATAGTGTGGCTTTGAAGCGCCCGTCAGAAATAGGAAATACAAATGGAAGCATGAGATGACTTGTACGGTCAGGCATTGTTCTTTTGCTGATTTAAAATGGAGATTTCAACGCTCAAATATATCCGAGTTGGTTTGTTTATTTGTTGTGCTTAGACAGTTTTGCATAGTCGGCAGTGTTTAAAAAAACATGAACAGTACACACATGTACATTTCACCTCGTGATGCCGAGCTTGTAATAAATCATAGACGTACAGGCAAAACATCATCAAACATCAAACTGGTGGAGACATCAAAGGTCAATCGTGTTTGCATTTATCAGGTACACGACCAAACATGACACTTAATTAGCATAAACATTTCAAATCTCAACAATTGCTAATGATAAATATCTGACCTGGGTCAGTTGGATCATTATTTACATTTCTAGTTGTGAACTTTGGATATGTCGGAAAATCCCGAATGTATTTGTGTTTCAAGACTGATAGTTGTTTGTTTGCTATTTTTGTTTTATATCGATGCGCGGCTCGTAAGGATCAAAATAGTTTCAGTTTTTTTTAGTGTTGTGTACAATTATCACATAACTCTTTTACAATCGATTCTTACCATTTCAAACCTCATGTCTCTCCGTATTCAAATAACTGTAATGTACACATACAATACTTATGCCCGTTAAATATTACCAAAAGACTTCAAAGCGAAGTGCGTTTCGTAAATTATAAAAACAGTTTTTCAGTCATATCACCTTTTCTTTAGAAACAAAATATCGATCCAGTTGCAGTTAGGTTTTCGTCAAAGTAAAATAGCCGAGAAAGTATAAACGACTTATACAAAGACTAACTCCAATTGAGGGTTACGGTGAGTTCATATTCTATAAACCTTGTTACTACATTAAAAAGCATGGGAATCAATAGATCAAATCATAATAATGCAGTTCCGTAAGTAAGTGGTCATGGGTGCTCAGGTGGCACTTCGGAAGCAGTTGACTCTAAATGCCCTCAAAAGATACGTCTACTTTATAAAAACGTACGTTTTGGGGAGTCCAACAGCTCATTATTTGTGGGTTTTTTTCCATGACCGTCACTTTGAGTTTGGAGTTTAGGAAGGTTTGCTTCTCAGTTTTCTTTGGCAAAGTGAAGTCGTACAAAATTTATAAAAAGAACTTTAGAAACTATTTCATTCACATTTACGCACAGGGCTTTTAAGGAGAGATCAAGAGAACCATGAGTGGACATTATGAAAGGGATCAAACGGACGATTCCAAGACCAAGATGAAAGACGAAATCCAGGCAGGTGAGTAGTGCCGAGAATCCAAGAAAGAAGATCTAATAACGACCTCTTAAAGACTTTGAGATTTCCCAGCCATAACGTAACAAATACAAACTCTTTTTTCTCATTACAAACCAAGTCTTCCAAAAAGAAAAATAAACACGTAGACCATTTTTCATTCAACATCAATGAACCAACCGTGCCCTAACTGTGCTCGTGATGCATTTGATAGAAAACCCCGTTGTTTGTTTGCCGGTTGGATATAATGTCTCTAAGAAGTCCCTGAGCATATGTCAATAGAAGAGACACTTTTTGTCTCATTATGATTAGCGCTTTTTATTAGCGTCGATAATTATACGGTGCTCATTATTTTATTATATTGTTTTAGATTACCAACAACAGGGTGCACACGTCGGATTCATCGAACATGTTAGCGGTTCGCACAACCCTATCATTGTTGGTAGTCAAGTCACCTACAATTTCAATAACGCTCCGCCGCCAGAGAGGGCAGGTAAATACAAATCTTCGTAACGTAACTTTCAGGCTCTATGATTTCATGTTTTTTTTTTCAAATTTGAAAAATTTCAGCTGCGTGTAATATAATGTCCGTGACAGAGCCATATTAAAAGTATTACAACAGAGCTTTATTGTATTAAAACCAGAGGTGTGGATCATTATTTACACTGATATCGTGGTTAATCGGCGATGTCAGGGGCATTACAATTTTTTCCCTAACGCTTGAATTACCCACAGGGCAATTAGAATTCTTTTTTATAATCAAGTCAACTATATATTTATTAAGTGCCAAAATTGAAGTGTGCAACACTTAGGCGATATTCTAGAGATTTACTTAGTGTTGGATTCATGATAGTTATTCAATCCTGTGTTTGTAACGATAGAATGTAAATGCACTTGTAAATAATTGACACTGAGAGACCATGTGGGTGCAACCCAGTAAATAGGCCGAAAATCTTTAGGGCTTCCAATTCTGAGCATTTTGGATGCAATTAGGTCCGAAAGTTAAGTGACGCTATTATAGCCATACAATGGAGGGATCTTTTTTTTTAAATGGCTAAATCTCCAGTTTAGGAAATGTCATTCGTTTTAGGGGTGGTCTTCTTTGGGTGAGAACTCAGTCTCAAAAAGTCATCTGTCAACTCACCACAAATTAAAAATGAAAGACGACATGTTGATCATCATTTTTCTGTGCAGCCTGAACACTTTGAGAGTTTTGAGTATCAAATCTTTTTTGGAGTATGGGGATTTGTTACTATATGGGAATTTAATTACGGTTGCACCCTCTGGACATTTAAAATGAACGCCGCGCCACGCATGCACTATGCCGCGACGGTGGTTTTCGGTGGGCGGAACCTAGGAGAAGGGAGGCCTAAGTCACCAAGGCGAATCTGCAAAAAGTGCTCGCAATTCTGCAAAGGGCTGATTGAAGCAATTCCGAGGAAAAAAGTGAGGGGGTCTGATTGGGGGTTGTGAGGAGTTGGAACTTAATCGACGCCACGAGGGCGCTCTATAGCCGGGGAATGCGCATAAAAGCTGCCCATGTGCAAGCCTGATATTCCCCTCAGAATTGTTTTTTTTTTATTTATTTTTTTTTATTTTTTTTTAATTTAATGTGGGTTATGCCTTTCCCTTGCCGTAAAAGTGGTTTGGAGAATATTTAAGGGTGCAACCCAGTAAATAGGCCTAACCGTCCGCCGAGCCCATGAATTAAAGCTATACATTCAAATCATTCTATAATATAGAGGTTTGAGAGACATGGAATTTGAGGATTGAAGACATAGGGCACTGCACCTCTGGCCTGGAATGGGGCTTCAAATTCTGAGCATTTAGATGCAATTGGGTCCGAAAGTGGCGTTTTTTATCTATAGTGGGGAGGGATCCTTTTTCCTAATAGATATATTTCAAGTTTTGGAAATATCATTCGTTTTAGGGGCCATCTGATTTGGTCGAGAATTTCCGAAAAAGTAATAGGTCAGCCCACCAAAAAGTTAAAAGAAAATGAAAAGACAACATGTTGATTATCATTTTTATTGTGCAGTCTAAACACCTGTGAGAGTTTTGAGTGTTTTTCAAAGAATTTGGAAGTATGGAGATTGAACACTGGTCTCTGTGTGAATTTATTTACACGGTTGCACGATATAGTATTTCAAGATGGCTGTGTACTTGGCCCAGTTACCGGCCCGTCAGTAGAGTGCTATATATAAGATTGATAGTAGCTTATGGTACTCATTACAGTGTTTACACTTGTACTTTTTTTCTGATGCAGGTACAGCTTCACAAAATCCTCAGTCTGGAAATCCCACTTCAGGTATTCTTTAAGTTTCAAATTGTCACAGCAATTAATTACATTCCAACGATTGATTGTCCAAAAACGTAGACCCTGTAATTTAAAATCCTTCCTATATTAAAATGAGATCTCCTTATTACATTTTTCAATTTTTGTTGTAATCTTAATTTTGTTTTGTACCGATAAACACGGTTGTATTGATCAATGTTTTAGTCCATTTTTGGTTTAACAAAATACATTTACTGGATTCGTCAGTTGTATTGGTACTGCTTGTAGATTAAAACCCCTTGTTTATGGCATCCGTAGTAAATATTAGCGGTGGTGTTGGCCATAATAAGTGGGGGAAAACGAGTCATTTTACCCAAAAAAGTGGCCTCGATATAATTGCTTCGTGGTTATAACTTGTTAAAGGGGCGGGGTTAAGCATTACTTTTAGCGGTAGTGCAGTGCTGGTCCTATCATGCACTTTAGAAAAAAACAAATGATCAAGGGTCGTAAGGGGACGTTTCCACCACCCTCAACTACCATCATAGGAAGGTGTTTCCATCCGTGTTCTTTAAAAAATATTCTCAAGTGACGACCCTAATCCTTTCAATAAAATGAGTGGTCAATATATTTTTTTCTGTCAAAATGTTCCCCTGAACACGGTTGTGACATTAGATTGCTTACTTTAATCTGATTGGTGATGAGTTTCAAAAATATTATAGGCAGTTTAACAGTGCACGAAAGATATTGACCATTACTAGGTTAAATCCGATGGGCATGCCATATTTTAATCATAATTTTCCATACCTTCTATTTCAGACTGAAATCATTTCAATATTTATGAAGCCAAAAGAGGAGCATGCAGGAAAAATGAATTTCAAGCAATTTTAATGGCAATCCAGGATAACATCCCAATATTATTATCAATGGTCCTTAGTTTTACTAGGAGATAAAATATAATTCTCGCATAATAGTTTGATGATTTTCATAACAAAGTCACAAAATAACTAGATTTTTAAGTTAAGCCTCGCCTTTGTTCTGACAAATCAAAGGGATGTTACCTCGGCAAATGGATTCTCGTTAGGTCCGGGGCCCGATTTCTGGGCTCTGCTTACAGTTAGCAAAAAACCCTGCTTACCATAACAGACAATTTCGTGCTTACAATAAGCGTATTTAACGTGTTAGCTAGGAATTTTGGCTTGAGCGCATGCGTACATCCCATAACTAAGGCTTCTGTGCAGTGCAGGGTTAGCACAGAATATTTCTGCTAGCGCGGTTTATAGCACACAATGGTGATCGTAAGCGCGGAATTCTGTGGTTATAAGCAACGCCGTGAAATTTGGCCCAGATGCGTGTATGTCAACATTTTTCGTTTGTCAAACCATCAGATGGTGTAGGCCCCTACGCAGCTGCAAAATAAAAATGTATTAACCGTTTCTATGCATACAATACTCACCTATTGTCCATGTGGTATTCAAATGCCCGGGGTAATACACCGCCTTTGAATGATTAGACTTTTTTGAGTAAAAAAAATTACAAGGTTAGAATAAGCGTTAACTTTTGTTTTTCCTGTTGGTTGGTTGACTCGGTCCCGTAATGACTGACAACCTGTGATGATCTCAACAGTGTTTCTACTGCAGCTAGAGCATGTACCTCATCTACCTATTAATCCATCAAATTTCCTAAGTGTCGATTTTTCCCAATAGTTCGATATCCAGAGAAGGTTTACGTATGTGGGAGACCGAGTGAGTGTGTGAGTGAGTGACTTTGTTTACATGCGAGAACTCTTGACACAGACAACTTGCTAACTTCTCAATTTTCTTATTTTGATGTATGGAGCAAAATTGATATTAAGGAAAAGTAATTTTAAGTTGTATGCTCGTTATTTTATTTTGTTCGTGTCCATAATTCGGCTTGGCTTTAGTAATTGCTTTTACATTTTAAAGCTGTCATACGTGGGTCAAGGAAGTAGGCCTTCCTATGTGCCCCTAAACTTTCAGCATCTCTGATTATGCCCATTGAATCTAATACAATGCTTGTTTCGATAAAATACATAGTTTTGTTATTGAATTACATGGAAATGATTTCCTAAGCTATTCAGTGCTTTTTTGTGGTGGACATTCATTTTCTTCACATAACATGATCAGGAGGGTTGTCATTTTTGGCTTTATATCCCTTACAAAAATCTTCCATGGGACCCCATGAGAATAATAAGGTGAATTGGCCGCCATGTAGCATGGGACTTTTCCCATGAGAGTTTCAAAACTCACGTGGGGAAAATCCCATGCTACTTGATGGCCAATTCACCATGTCATCCCCAGAATAATAAGGTGAATTGGCCGCCATGTAGCATGGGACTTTTCCCATGAGAGTTTCAAAACTCACGTGGGGAAAATCCCATGCTACTTGATGGCCAATTCACCATGTCATCCCCATGGGGTCCCATGTGAAAATTATCCAAGGGCTTTTGCCAACAAACATAGAACCTCTAGTTTTTCTTTCTTCTAGTTTTTATTTCAGCCTTTCCCCATAGCATTTGTACACGTTTTCATCGTGTTTGGTACTTTGGGCACTTACATCATTCCGATTGCCTTTATACTTGGCACACACTTAGACCAGCACCTGCCGCTGTGTGCTGAACATTGGCGTTATCATGACGTTATCACGAGTCACGTGACGTCACATTTAATGTGTATATCTTGAAGGCCTATATCTACTGAACGACAGGTCTGATTGGGTTGAAAGTTGGTATGTACCTAGACCGGGATGTGTTATAGATGAAAATTGAAGTGACGTCGCGATTATGTAACGTTATATCAAAAGTGCATATTTTGAAGGTCTATATCTACAGAACTGCAGGTGCGATTGGGTTGACACTTAGCATGTACCTAGACCGGGATGTGTTATCGATGAAAATTTAAGTCGCGTCATTATGACGTCATCACGTGACGTCATATTTAATGTGCCACTTAAAACATATGCAACATATCCTGACGCTGAACCTGAGCCATAAGTGCTCATTGCAGTGGACAGACGTTGTCCCATCCGTAGGTAACATGCCCAAACTGGGTGACATGATACTTGCTGGGGCTGGTATTGCCTTGATTTTCAAATCAAACTTAAAGTTTGTGGGGATTTACTGGAAGCCATGAGATCATCATGGGCATTTTATAGACACGTAGGTACACCATGAAGGTTTGGACGCCATTGGGAACACCTTTAGTAGGTGATATATGAACACCATGGGAACACCATAAATATTTAAAAGACAGCACGGAGACGTTTGGTTAATATTGAGACCATGCATATGCCATAGGAACCGTCATAGACCCACCTGCACAGACTTTGTTTAATTTAAATACTTCAATTAACAATGTTTCCCAATACGTTCATGGATGTTATCAAGAATTTTCCTTTTTGTATGCTGACCATGGGAAACTCCTGCGGATTTTCACCAGTTTCACCATAGGAACACCATGGGGATTTTATGGACATCATGGGGAATTTATGAACACCATGGGAACACCATGGGGATTTTATGAGCTCCTTGTGAACACCATGGGGATTTTATAGACATCGTGGGAACACCATGGGGAATGTATGAACAGCATGGGAACGCCATTGGAATTTCATGGACACCATAGGAACACCATGGGGATTTTATGGACATCATGGGAACACCATGGAAAATGTATGAACACCATGGGAACACCATGGGAATTTTTTTTTTTTTTTTTTTAGGCCAAAAAAAAAAAAAGTTTTTCCGCTTTTAAGCGGAAAAGCAATAACCCCTTGTCGTGCCAAACAAAGTACATCTGTCACACACAGTAAGTTGAGTATGGGTATAACATTGTGTTAGAAGCCGGTAAGGCATTTGCGGGGAATAGATTGCGGGGGAGTTTGGTGCTTACTTATGAGGTATACTTTGCAAAAAAATCTGCTCAAGCATGGGTTTCCTTTGATTCAAAGTAATTAAAACATTAAGTTAATTAGATTCATTAGAAACACTAGAATCCTGCCTACAACCACTTTGTTTCAAAACACAAAAGGGAAGAAAACTGGGACAGGAAGTCATAAAACAACAAAATGCGGACTCATTACGACTCAGCAATTTTTAGTGAAATTTTCATTCCATTTTGAAAAGTTCGGCCCACTGGTTTTGGGGCTTTACATTTATAAGATCCTTCTTCAAAATATGATGAGACGCAATTATTCTGCTTGTATAAATTTGTAAATTATTACATGTTTATTACATGTATATTATATTTTTAATTACCTCACCTCAGAACGAGTTCAGATCTTGAGGTAGTGAAACGTATAGTTATTGTAAGCGCATTTTATCGCTGACTGTGATTTTCTCAGGTTGCCAAATTTCCAGTGGGGGGGGGGGGGTTGACTGGGAGGCGACGATATTGTTGTTATGGGGGTAGAGGGCGTGCGCCCCACCCTCGTTTCTACGCCGCTGACTCCAAAATATCTTTTCTGGGGCTATAAGAATTATTTATCTTCCAAGTTTGGTGCTTTGGACCAGTCGGTCACAATTCCACCCATAAGCCACCTGACTAATATGCTTGTCGATTTCTTCCCACGATGTAGGTGCTTGGAATGCTCCCCAGAATGCAGATGACTTGCCTGCAGTGGAACCCGACTGTAAAGGTTCCTACGCAGCTCTTAAGATGAAGACAGCTCGACCCACGCAGGACATGCTGAATCAAGAAAATGTAATTTCTATTACATACACCTATGTTACTTAGGCTTTTTGTAGAACTTATAAAACGTCATTTTGCTTTTTTTACATATGGAGTTTTCTTTTTTCAATTGACAGACTTATCAGCTAACGTCGAAGTGCAAAGGACTTGCGTTCATTCTAAACAACAGCGTTTTCAACGGAGGCCAGCTGCGGAAAGGCTCACAGATTGATACGGAAAACATGAAACATCTCTTTAAAGAACTCGGATATACACCAATTCTCCACGAGAATCTTAAAGGAGAGGTAAAAAAGAAATATGGAATTAGCAGATAGAGCTAGAGGGGCGCTCTCTGACAAAAAAAGGAAGGTGCCACCTATGAAGTACGTATACACAAAAGTGCCGACTTTTTAGAACCCACCTGTACGCACGGCATATATGTACTATGTCATGTACACCTATCCGGTTCGTAAGTGTGAAGCCATTTCAACTTAAGCTACACCCACTGAACACCGTGTAGCTTCTTTGTCCTTCAGGTATCTATCAATGAATCCTCAGGAGGTTTTCCTCCTAATGTATGCAAATTATGCAGGACTGGACTAGGTCTGGTTCCTGCACCCTGAACACAAAAATCACAACAGTATTGTTAGCGCAGAACGCGCCTATTGCAAAATGACAACAACGGCTACCACTAATGTGCAAGTTGCGTGGGTATGAGCTTTGATTTTCGCTGAATTTGAAAGTGTCTCAGGTAACTATCAATAATAACGAGAGGGGCATAATTTTCAGTATTTTGAAACCAGTGCTGTTGAAAGGTTTGAAATTTGCCTTCGTGGAGGCATTGGCGATTGTGTCTACTGTATGGCAAGAGTAGGATCACACTGCGCACGCTGAGATGATGCAATATTAATCATAGCCTTAAATTGAATGAGGACTAACTACCGGTCCCCGTATTTTATGAGGGTGGTGAACAGTCTACATTGGAACCATTGGAACCAGTGTCATATGAAAATCAGACTCCTATGATAATCTAGACTTGACCAAGGCTGTCTAGCTTGTTCCCTGAACGAGCAAGGGGCCGCTACCGTACAGCATTAGGCTGATTTGTCCGGTACCCGTCGTATGTATAACTGTACTTGCCATGGCACAGCTCCACGCCTATTTGCTTGCCTGCACATTACAGTACGAACGCCACACACACATATCCATAAACAGTATACAGTAACCATTCCCAAGTCGAGGCGAAAGACAAACTTGGAGCAACCGTTGCTAATTCCTTATGTGTTTCTCTACATTTTCGGCCGAATTCGGCCGAGTATTTCTGATGCACAATTTAACATGATATCCAATCAAAGCCCGTAAACTTGGATCCGCAGTTGACAGCTTACTGCACACAAAACAAGCGTGCTCTACACGCTCGCACGTATACGAAGTTGGCTGAACTTTGATGCATACACCAGTTTCCCAATAAAATCAAATTCATGCACGCTTGCGCATAAATATATCCAATTTTCCAATTTTATCACATTAAAAAACAAAATGCAGTATTGCAGAAAAGGCAATGCTTATTGATATATTATTTCAAAAATGGAATAGTGTTGCAAATTAACACGCGATAGTATTGCTAAATTTGCTATCTGAGGATTGAAAAATATCTTTTTGCATTACTTCACAATATTATTGTTTTATTTCACAAAATTATTGCATTATTTCGCAAAATTACTACATGAATTCGCCAAACTATTGCGTTATTTCACAAACTATTGCGTTAGTTTTTTTTTTTTTTTTTTTTAAAACCTGGCACGAACCGGCTTCCATAATTATTGAATAATAAATATCCGAGAATTGAAAATGTTGCCTTCGCTATCTTTAAAGAACTAGCAGTGCTTGACGAGAATGTTGCACTTTTTGCCGCTGACCGATATAGAGCAGCGTGATTTCTGTGTGGGACGGCCTGGGCTTTTACGCACGATCTCCAGACAACGTGACCGTCCGTTGCACGGTAAAACATTTGCGCCGGCGTGGATGGTACCCAAAATCACACAATTATTTCTTGGCACTCTAAATGCATTTTTAAAAGTTTTTATTTCTTACCTTCCAAAAAGACCAGAAAGTAATACCTTTGACGATTTCAGGGACTTTTTAAAGACAACTGGGACAAGTCCTGGAGAAATTGAAAGAAAATGACAAAACTTTTTTGCTCCCTGTACATTTTTAATGAACAGATTTCGCTTTTTGCTTCAAGCCCTATTTATGCGCATGCGTGCATGAATTTGAATTTATTAGGCATTAGTAATAAATATTCGTTATTTTGGTCAACCAATAACCAACGAGAGAAAACTGTTTACCATAGCCCGTACTAATTATCTAACTGAGCATATACTGTTGCTTCAAGGCTGTCTTTCGCGTGTGTACGACGCAATGTATATGACAAAATCACTAGTTTGCACGTGCGTGATTGTCCAATTTATAGTGTCTTTCGGCGGAAAAAAAACTGACATCCACGTATTTTTCCGCTGACTTTTTCTTCTATGTATTGCAAGGAATTTCATTCTTAGCAACATATTTTAAATGATGTGTATTTTATCCTTTCGTTGATTTCCTCTACAGGATATCACCAAGTTTTTCAAGGAGTTTGCCTCCATGTTCAATCACACTGGCGTAAGTTACGACTCAGCCGTGATAGCATTGATGAGCCACGGCCATACGGGAGTCATTCTCGGCATTGATGACGTTCAAGTGAAACTGCGAGATTTGCAGCGGGAGCTGGAACCCCATAACTGTCGGGGGCTGGATGGGAAACCCAAGATGTTCTTCGTGCAGGCGTGCAGGCGAAGTGAGTACAATTCCTTCCAGTAGGCCGTATGAGGGCGCTCCAACGACCCCATTTTCTGGTTACAAACAGTTTTAATCAGTGGAAGCACTATTGTTAACCATAGTTCGACTAAGTTAGCCCGAACTCTATTTATTCGATGATGGTTGGACTACGCTAGTCGACTATTTGGAACCAGCCTACTGGGCCTGGTTGCATCGCTGGTTAGCAATAGCCTCGTTCAGTAAAGTGCAGAGGGAACCATTGACAAAGGATTAAACGTAGCGAGTTGTTCTACCTGCTGGTTGGCCTTGGAGAATTTTTTCAGTTCTTTCAACAGGTCAAAAAACGTAAACAATCATACTCGTGACCGCCATTTATTGACAACTGTTCGACTAGAGTCATTTGCACTTTAATGTTACAGCGCAAGCGCACTGTTTGACACCAACCAACCATTGGTCGACTAATGGTTGTTGCGCGAACTTGCCCCAGCCTTCAAGTTTCAATTTTTTTTTCATACTATTGTCAGAACTTTGAATAATAGTATGTTGAGGTCAGACAATTTGCCGAAGCTTGTATTGGGTCTGTCCCCTTCTCTAATCATGTTTTCATAATGACAACACAAACTAGTTGCAGTATAAATAACAAAAATGTGAACTCTGAATTAATGCAAAATGTATACGTACGTTATTAATAATCGTGATTTAGGATTTCTCTGTTGTGAAGGCTAGATTCATGAAACGACTCGATGCATGAAACGGCTCGATGTGACTGTATCCATTCTGAAACACTTGAACAGATTTGTGCACCCAGTGACCAGCTTTGTCTTGTGTTGTTAATAAACTCGTGTCTGTGTCCCTGAAAAAATAGAATTTGTTACCACACTACCCGTAAGTCATGACGGGCCCAACACTGCGTCCGGTGCCCAAGAATCTAACCAACTTCTCGAAGAGTTAGTCCTGGAACAACTAGACACCTTCGTTGCAGATATTGGGAACCCCGCGGATGTATACTTCGCTTATGCAACAACGGACGGTGTGTACTCCGTACATATTTGTTTTAAATTGTGCAATGAAAAATTTAAAATATAATTGATACATTGAGTGTCAGATGACATCTCCACGCATTGGAAAGAAAATTGAAAAACAAATCACATCGATATTCCCTCAATTTTTCCTTATTATCAATCTTTTTTTTTTATCCTTTTAATATAACTAGCCTTTCATGTGTACCTGATCGACAGCACCACAATTTTGTTTTTACCGAAATGTTATACATTTATAAACTTCTCATGAGACGATTGTTTTCTTGATTGAAAATGCGATGCTCAAATACCAGCTTAAGTCTATGAGTCCTCTGCGTTTATTTACAGGTTATCTTTCTCTGCGGAGTGAGGTCAGTGGTTCTTTCTTCGTTCAAGCTTTATGTGAGGTCTTCTTCGCTCGAGCCCATCTGGACAAGCTAGATACACTGATGACTAAGGTGAGAAATTGTGCTCTAGAATGGATGCATAATAAGGAGTGGGACTCGGGTGCGACAAAAAAAAATATTAGTCTTAGCCACCTGGGAACGATTGCATCAGAATTATTCCCTTCTTTCGATCGACGCCTATAAGAAGTCTCCATTTGCAAATATAAGACCATGCGATAAGTTCTGAGCGAACGAGTTTACATGTCGCCATAATCAAAAATTACATATTATTACAACCGAGAGAAGTTGCCAGTCAACTTAATATTTCTAGTTCATAGCAAACATCGCTACAGTGCCTCATTATGTCCGTGGCCTCTAATTCAAAGTTGTTGACGGCATAATTTAAAGTTCATCAAGCCAAGGGAGTCGCTAGTTTCCATTTCGAGGAAAGATAATAAAGAAAGATGAGATAAGGAACAAAACGGTCGAAAATCAACTATGTTTTTAATCATACTTAACATCTGCATTTTCTTCACGATTTCCCTCATTTTGGTGCTGCCTAGGTAAGAGCTCGAGTAAACAGCAGGAAAGGAAAGCTGTTCGACCAGGAATTAAAACGTGTTGTTACCGTCATGCAAACGCCGGAGTGCGTCAATCGCACGCTCAAAGATGTCTACTTCCTCCCTAATTATCCATAAATTAGCTTCATTGAAACATTCAATATTTTACGCCGAAAATGTATCCGGTTAAAATTATTTGACTTGCATATATCTACTCTAAAAAAAAAATATTTCGATCCACTCAATAAAACTGAGGCAACACTGTTGCCTTAAAGGGAAGATACAACATTTGCAAAAATCAACACACGCAATGGTCAAATCATCACGAAATACCTTACTGGATTGTGAGGAAATGACAGTCTAAAGCATTCTGTAAAAGCGTGGCTCCTTGTGTGCTTACCTTTTAAAGGAAATGTATTTTTCAAACGCTTGTTGGCGGACCAGCGTTGGAAAAAGCCTGGCTGTTTTTCATATTTGGTTATTCCGCCTATTCTTTGCAATTGATTACACACCTGTGAAGGGGAAAAAGCCTTCTAGACTGATTCTTTATACCTTACAATTTCCTAAAGTGTATAAAGTTCTCCAGCATCTACAAGCCCAAAACGTGATACAAGTAAGTTTAACATTATTTGCTATAATATACAAATCCTCCACATCCATTTATTTTTGAAAATTGCAGCAAAGGCAAATGTTGTACGTTCCCTTTTATTCGATAACGTCATATTAACTTGTAATAATTTAAATCAAATTAGGTTTTGCCCATCTTATAATTGTAATAATTTAGTTATCGCCACTTCAGTTTCTAAGTAAGTGTGAATTAAAACAAGAAACGGTAACTTCATATACAATTGGGATCTAGCAATTAATACAAGAATGGAATTATCCGCTACTTTGTTACATTTACCAAATTGTAGTGTTGCTACCTAACATCGGGGTATCCTCACGTATCACAACATAATCTCCGTGCATATTATAACAAAGTTCCAAGTTGAATTTTCATATTCAATATCGACAGCACTGCTGAAAGAACGTGTGCACTCTTTGCATTTACTCACTGTCCTAAAGACAAGACTCCGTGCGCATGCACTGAAGTGCTTGATTTACAACAGGGATACGATGGCCACGTAATGCCATTTAATATAATCTCCATAACACTCATAACTCATCGTAGTTAGTGTAACTCCTTTTCTGTTTGTTGGTTGGACGTAATAATACCCCCCCCCCGAAAAAAACTATATTTTGTTCGCACGAAAAGCAGTGTAATGCCAAATACATACAACCTAATAATCAAAACAATTTTATTGAACATTAAGTTTATCATTGAAGACTTAACAAATTTAAGTTATACCCACTCTTTGTGATTTACGTGTTTATTACTCAGACTTGCTAATCAAATGTTATGTATAATTAATGACTCTTTTATCGGTATCAGCTTTACTTAGCTCTGTTATGTTTCTTTGACGTAAATACTTTACGCTGCATCTACGAGTTAATGATTTAAGTATTTAGTACTTAAATGCAAAGTACACATGATGAGTCTGTTTTGCTTTTAGTAATATTAACCAAACCTGTTTATGTATCATTAACTCAATTTCAAATGTTGTTGTCTTTACTCATCGGCTTTAAACGTTAACATTTTCATGGGTATATTCTGGCGTTAACAATGATGCACATTCGTAAATAATGGTGGTAGTAATTAGTTTTCTTAAACAGATAAGCAATGAATCAAGATGTATTTCCATTTGGGACTCGGCTACAAGACAGTTTGTTTTCATTTGCTCAAAAGCTTGGAGTTGATCTGAGCAAAGACGGTGTCAAATTTTGTGAGTTAAATTAAATATTAAAAAATTAAAAATGTAATGAAACATGAACTGTTGACGTCATTGTGACGCCACTTGGGATGTTACATGTTAATAATATTTTCAAGCTTCCCACAATAATAATAGTCTATGTAATAGACCATTGAGCAGATTCGCTGATTACTTAAGCAATCAACCGCATTTTGACCTCTAGATTTTGACCGATCAGCGCGCGTGTTTTTTTATATCGGGTCGTCGGTTATTCACCTTTTGTTGCGACAAAGACATGGATTAAAACCTAGACACAGCAACAAAGGCTGTGCCACGCGCTCTGTATTATGTTACGCGGTACGCGCCCGGCCGTTGTTGAAGGTACAAAATGTATACGTAATACGCTGTACATATAGAGCCTTTTTAATTTTGGGGTCCATAGAAGTTGAGTTAAATAGTTGCTCAAAAATGTTTGTATTTTTTGAAAGAAACGAATATTTCAGGAGTGAAAGTGCGTATGTTTTTGTACAAATTTGTGTTGAAAAAGATGAACTTGTGTATGTCTTTGTTTTGAGTATTGAAAAAAAATGCCTAATTCATTTTGAATATCAGAGGATGGTAGATAAATCCGTAATAAAATAGATTACAAAGAAACGTGCATACAATTTTCTTACGAAACACAGATCATTGTGTGTTTTAATTAACATCCAAAAAAAGCGTGAAAAGGGAAAGGCCTTATAACCAGATGTACACACTCAAAGACAAACAGTATATTTCAAAGTCGCGGCGTGTTTCGGGCCAGGCTGCAGCGCCAGGCCCTGTGGTATGATAGTGAATAGTGAAAAGCGCCCTCTTTTGTTAAGGTAAGTATAATTTAGTTTAGGTGAACCTTAATAATCGACAGATTTGAACAGCGCCCCCATTGAACGTATGGTACGAGCCCCTATCCCCCACCTATGGATTTTGGGAGTTTGAGACTAGTTCGGAGAAAAAAACCTTGTCTGACATTTCAGGGTTTTTTTTTCACGATGAAACCCCCCCCCTGCAAAAATTCCTGGATCCGCCCCTGGCTGTGCCACCCCCCCCCCCCTACGCACACATTTTCACGCACACATTTTCACGACATTTTTTAAAAGTTTGTATACGACTTGCTTTTTCAAAATTTCGATTTTCTTTTCCGAGCAAAATGTAAAGAACTATTATGTCCTGTAACAAATAAATGTGCTTGTTTGTTTTTGTTGGCCTTTACACACTTTTAATGTAGGTTTTCCAGGCCAATTTCCTAAAATTTTCATTCACTGCTGAAAATCAGTCATTCATTTTCGTCTGAATTTGAGAATCGGTCTGAACACGCGTTTCATTTTGAAGAGTTTTTTGGGAAGAAACCAATGATGACGACACTGATTATGACAACAACGATGACGACGGTAACGTTTTTAAAATACTCTTTTCACAATAATTTCGGTCATGTTTCTAAGTTTGCAATTTTATATTGCCATTTAAGGTGAAACGTTGCAAGGCGGCTTGCTCAACTATTCAAAGGGTATGATTTCGGTTAAGTGTCGAAAATAATCTGCTTTACAATAACAATTGTGCATCACTTTTGCTTGTTTAATGAATTATCACATTTCAAACGAACAAATCTAATAATGAGGACCAAATCACAGAAACTATTATTTTACTCAAAAACTAGTTACATGTATAGTGTCCCTCGGTGGTGACCTTTACTGTCAAATGTAGTTTATTTATAATGCAATAACACAAAGACTATCTGTTCCAATAGTGTGGCTGTTGAGTGACAGAATTGTGAAATTTGTAACTAAGGCATGGAACTTTGAATACTTGGTTCTTCATCCCATGAAGAACATTTTCAGATGTAGAGGCATTTCATATTATACACCTAATGACCCTTTAGAGGTCAATGGACTCTGTATGCCTATTTATGGATATTCATAAGATACATTACTGTTCAAAACCCCTTTTTCAGAAATGTTGGTCTTCTTGCAATGATATATGAATTTCAGATGAGAGATGAATGAATTAACTTTGTAAACCCTATTTACCGCTAATTATCTTTATTATTTAATCTTTCAAAGACCACTTTTATGACTCAAGTCTTAATACAGGCTGGATCAGCAACAACAAAAAAGGGAAACACAGATGTAAATGTAAATTATAAAATATCTAATAAATGTTTTCAAATAAATAATAAAGTTAAAGATCATGTGAAACACCAATGTGTCCTCTTCCAATGATACCTGAATTATAAATCTGTGGCCACGGATGACCGATCTTTCGTAGTTTATCTGTCAAGGGTCAAAACCTGCACTGTGCCAAGTTCGTGCAAAAGGGTAACTGGTACTGTGGGCATGTGGATCGGCTTAATTTAAAGGAAGAATACATCATTTTCTTTAAACCAATATATCCAATTTCGACACAGTGATTTAAACACTCTCATTGTTGAAGTTATCCCCAACACCCAATGCCTTCAACGTGGCCACCACCTCTTTCCACACAAAGCTCTGCACGATGTCTAGTCCATGTCAACCTTGCGTAAGAAACCAGCCATCAAGCTCCGCCAGGCACGGTTAACCAGTACAGGTTTTGACCCTTGACAGAATAACAACGAATGTTTAGTCATCCATGGCCACAGACACAAAATCAAATCAAGGTATCATTGGAAAGAGGACACATTGGCGTTTCACATGATCTTTATCGCATTTGAAAATATGTATCAGATTTTGTCATTATTTTATATTTACATATGGGTTTCCTCTTTTATACTCCCTATAGTGCAAACGAAGTGTATTTTTACTAATACTCCACAGCATGTCATGAATTTATACCCCAAAGACAATTTTTTCAAGACCTCTAATCTCCATTTCCCTTTTTAAGGGCGGACACAGGCGATACAGAATATTAAGTGGTACATTGGACATGCATCATACTCTAACAGTGACCAGTGGGCTTGGTAAACAGGTATAAAATGTGGTTATTCAAGTCCATCTACATACAACAGAGTGTAATAGGTACCCAAGGGTGAATACTGTTAGACACTTACATATTCCATAGTACAGAATGTCTCAAAGCCTTCTATTCAAGTCGCATCATGTTGCGTCTGCAAATACTAAAAGGGAAATAGAGGTCAAATGTTATCCCAGTTGTTTGTGTGCGGTTTGAATTCATAAAACGACCGTTGAATAATAGATACAATACCTTTCTTTTGCACTCAGCTTCGGCACGAACAATTGGCGTTTGACGAATAAATATGACATATAGCCACGAATAAGGTATTCACAATTTATTGTGCTCCCAAAGGATATCAAAGTTCAGATATGATGTCCCTAC